ATTAAATGTTCTTTCAGGCTTCTAAAGCTCTTTAAGTTCTACAAATCGTGGCTAAAAAATGCTAGAAGATGCCCCTTAAAGGTCAGGTCATCATGTCTGCCCCTTGTCTTTCTGTTCCTCACAGAGATCCACATGTGCACTTTGCTTCTGGCCCAGGACATCCCAATCCGTTCTGTCACGACTCCAGTTGGGCTCCACCTCTTCACCTCACTCCAACTGGCCATCTCTCTTCCAACCTCGACAATTTTTGAATAACTAATGAAGGTGCCAGCCAAACGGGATGATAGGAGCATGGGCAGCATCAGCAGGATGGCCACAATAAAACAATAACTGGCGAAACACGAGGAAAGTGTCTTGGTTGCGGGTCGAGTGCCTATGAGTCCTGGCCTGAATATGAAATTCGGATTCGGATTTCATCCGACTGTCGACATTCATCTTGCCAACTGTCTGTCTGGCATTAGGAGTCGAGCGTCCTGTGTCCGCCGTCCAGGACTTATGCATCATTGTCAAAATATTAACAGCTGGCACATTCCAAGTCGAATCCCCTGTCCCTCCTCTTATGTGAGCACTTAAGCCTCGGGACTGATTCAGATGATGATGAAAAATAGAAATGGAATTTAAGTATTTCAAGATACATTTTACTGGGCAAACAACTGAATTTGAGACTGGCCAAATGGACGGCGGACAAATGGGTCAAATCCTTTCTGATTCGGACCAGATTTCCTCTGAGGAGCGTCAAGAAGCTTGCTTTCCCTTAACCTCTGACTTGCTTCTGCACATCCTGGAGTACATAAATCTACGAGCAGGAAGGTCCATCACTAAAAGGGATATTTACGCATTTGCATGGGCGTGTGGAAAGCTGCTTATCTGCAGACGTAAATAATAACAGATATTTATAAATCAACACTGAAAGGTTTTGTGAGTGAGAATCAGAGAGTATTGCCTCATCTCCAAGGAAACTCATTAGAACAGAAAAGTGAGAGAGATTTCCTCTGAAAGACAAAACAAGGAGATACATTCCCACTTCTTTCCTGATTTGAGTTGCGTTGTCTGCAGTGTCAGTGCCAAGAATCCATTCGAATATCGATTTCCACCAATGAAGTGCATCTCACAGGAGGTAAAGGGGATTTAATGGGGGGTGCAAGGGGGCACTGGATGACTTTCGTCTGTCTACTCATATGAGAAGGGAAGACATGTGGGCATTGCTAAATAAATTTGCTTTCGAGTAAATTAAAAACAAACAACAAAGTCAAATATTAAGGTTCTGCAACGCGATTTAACGATATTCAATCGGATCAGTACAAGATAGAAAAACGGAGGAAAAAGTGCAAAGCAAACAGAGAAATTTAGAAAAATCATTCAGAACTCTGGTTCGGTTTGTTTGTTTGCTGTCTGTGCGCGAGAACAACGGCTAAAAAAGTGTCACTTATTCACTCATTCGCAAATGAAGAAACATTTCCCTCCCAAAAATAACTCCGAATAGAGTCGTCTACATTTCCATTTCACTGCCTCATCCTTTTTTCCTACTCGCCATTCTTGTTAGTCTGCGTCGGGACTGAAAATAAAAACCTTTCTGGTATTCAAATGTTATTTTTGGCACAACATTTGTGGAATTCTACACACTTTTCCCCTTGGAAACTTGAAGCCGAGAAAACCGTGTGAAATGCGGAAGTATTTGTTGCCTGTTGTCACTAAATTTGGGAATGGGAAGCCGCAGCCACAAAAAACCGCCACACACTTTACCTTTTTTTGGGCTTGTGATTTTTTTGATGAAGACTCCTTTAACATCCTGGTTAAATTGCCCTTCGGCTTTGCAGGCCACTTGAGTGCTTCCCTGATTGATGGAAATCCCCTTAACGGGGGAAAATACCACTTTCTCGGATGCAGCTCCTAATTTCATTGTTCATTGATGAGCAGCCTGCACCTGATGAGTTGCCCACTAGTCCTGCAACTCATATCAAATATTTCGGTATCGGGCGTTATGCGACGGTTTCTGGGGCAGAGCCCTCAACAATAATTTCGATTACGGAATTTGTGGCCCTACATTTGGGCAGCCGCAGATGCAATTAAATGTTAATCGATTGAGTTTGTGTTATGTGGGAGGGCAGTGGTCAGATGCCACGCCCCACGTCTGAATACTTGAGCGATATAATCAAAATGGGGAGGAGGATATTGACCCCCTGCATCTCAAAGGGACGAAGGGGTGTTACTGCGTCGGAGGTGTAATTAATTGTAAATAATTGTGCATGTGTCACTTGCAATTTATTTATTTGCCGAAGTCATCTAAGCACAACAAAAGGACATTGGGGGAATAAAGGAATAAAGCTTTAAGGATATCTAACTAATTTGTATGCAGACCCTTTCCCGGAATGGTCAATATTAGGGACATCTTTGGCTGACCCTTATCTAGAGTTTCGTTTTATAACTAGAACTTATTGGTAGCATATTGCGTATACGACGAGATGTCTGTTGTAGTTGTAATTGCCAGATGGGAGATACGGTCTCAACTTGTTTCCGATATTTGCATGTCAAACGCGTGCTAATTTCAAATTACTGCGACACTTCAACTTCGTGCTCTCCCTTTTTTAGTCACCTTCCTCTTGAATTTCCCATTTCTACCAGCTCGAACGCATTATTTATGACTTGTACGCTTTCTGCGTCATTTTATAAACATTTTCCAAGCATGTTCGGCGACCTCGGAAAAGTTGTCGGAGGCTGCAGCAGCATATAAAATGTATAAAAATAAAAAGCTGGCGACTTTATGTTTTATTTATGAGCCACGCACACACAAAAGTTCGCACGGGACTCCTCAATGCGTGTCGCCTTTTAATGTGGCAAGATCAGGGAAGTGGAAGCAAGAAGCTCGGGAAATAATGATGCTACAAAGTGGTAAGATTAGTATGGCTCGTCCAATCGATACTCCGATATGCAGATGCCTCATTATGCCGCAAGTGCCTGCCATATGTTCGTGAAAGGGTCAAGGGTTAAGCACTGCCCCGAGTCAAGATCCCCGAGCAACTTTAGCTACCGCAAACCACAAATCGCCGTTTAAATATTAATACATCAATCCACTTAATATGCGAGTTTATGCCATCGAATGATGTAATAAATATAAAAGGAGCAGCCCGCAGACACTCGGATAAAGATGATGCCCATATGCTGATGCTGTAAATCCTTCCTCAGCTCCATATGCAATGTCTGTGGGAATGGGGGTCTCTCATCCACTTCACTTTATGATGAGTTTTCCCCGGTTGGGTGATGGATGCACGAGTACACACACCGTTAAGGGGCCACGAAGAGATTGTCCATTAAAGTTGCAGCCAGACTTCAATGGGTTTTCATATTTTTTGGGCTTTCGGCTCTGGTTGTTTTTCTTTATTGCAGCTGGCAAAAGTCAACCGCAATATGGCAGTAAAGCAAACAAGATTGTAATATGCCGAAGACAAAACAAATTCCTGGCACAAGCGCGCACTTCCTGAAAATCCCCCTCAGCCCTAACAAAACTGGCCTTCTCTGCGGTGGTCCTGGCATAAAGGAAGTGGGCTCCTTGTTGACTTGAAGAACTTATAAAGAAAACATCAACTGGGATTTCCGACACAACTGGCTTTGGAATGGGTACAACTTCAACAACATCCTATCCCACAGAGCAAGCAGATATCAAAGCGAAATTTTGCATTAAAACTTAAGAAATCATTGGGAGATGAGGGTCCGAGATAGGTGGGGAAAATTCTCCTTGGCCAATGATTGCGTAACATTGTGTCCCAGTTTCAGTGCGCATTTGTGGGTGCTCTTGTGCGTTATGATTGCCCGAGCTTAGCCAAATAATATTTTGTTGTCATAGGCTGTGACATTTTCTAATTTTCTTATCGTTACCACATAACAAAGATTAGACATTATAATACGCATTCTTTAAAGGCTGTGACATTTTCTAATTTTCGTTATCACATAACAAAGATTGCATATTATAATACGCATCCTTAAAAACAATGGATACATAACAAATTTAACAAACTTTTATTAATTTAGAATTAAAACATGATTCCTCGATTTTTTTGACCTGACAAGGTTCAAAAGTCAGTAGGTTAAAAAAACACATTGAAACAATAATAAACAAAAAAATTGGTTATAAATTTACGTTAATGACATAATTATCAATAAATTATGTCGCACCAGTAATTTAAGATTTATTATAGTCCGAATTAACACACAAATATATTTATTTATTCACACATATCTGCGTTTTTATGATTGTCTTTTTAAACACAGCGTTATTAAAAACCAGTAAATCAACTTACATTTTCCTGTTAATATGTTAAGCTAAATCGTACGGGAGTGACTAGAGATTATTGTTCTTTACAACAATTCAAATACAGATCTTTAGTGTACGCTTTAAAATTGCTTTAAATGTTTTCACACATTTCCGTTACCTTTGTTTACCTTGGTAGAGCTAAAAGCAATCTCAATCCCCACATAAATCCCCATTCAAGTTCAAGTCAACCCTTATGGAGGCCTGAAACCGCAGCGAAAGCCAAACGGGAACAGCATTTGCCGGTTCGCTCGTTTGAATTAATTTTGGCTTACACATTCTTGGCCAATGAGATTTATGCGTTGCTTACAAGTTGTTGTTCCAGTTGTTGTACTTCTTTTGCTCTCTTTTCACCCACATTTTTGTCGCAAAGAGCCAAAGTTCGGAGAATACAAAAAAAAGGGCGCAAAATAAAATGTTGTTTTGATTTGGGTTCCGTTTTCTCCTCGAATTTCTTTCTCATCGGAAGCCGAGCACGTGTTTGGTCCGAAAAACAACGACGCCTGCGCAAAAAAACATTTTCGAAACTTGACGAAACTTTGGTCCTACTCATCAACGAAGTTGAAAACGAGTGAATACGAAGTAAGGACCTCGGATTTCGGAAAGCCGAAGCTTTTTTGCCGTGCCAATGAAGCGAACCATTGAGCTGGACGATTTGAAATCAGTTTGACTCGAACCTGCTCCGGAAGTGGAAGTCAGCCCCGCGAGTTTCCATCAAAGAAGGAAAATCCTTAATACCACAATATAATTAAATTATAAATACAACACAATTAATTAAGAGTTAATTAGAAATTAATCTCTACGAAAATTACTTTTAGTGCTTATACCGAGAAAAAAAGTAAAGTAATTTTAATTCAATTAACCGCCAAAGTGTTAAACAATTAAAATATTTCGTGTGTGAGTGCGGTTGGTCATAAAATAATTCGTGCCGCAACAGCAGGCGACAATAAATTTTGCGGTTGGATCGTTAAAATTTCGTTTACCTGAATGCAGCCAGGACCCAGGAAAAGCGAACGAGAAGGAGGAGTTTTCTTTTTTTAGCCATTTGCATTGGGAGGAAAATTCATTAAAAATACAGCTGAAACTGAAGCCCAAGACGAGAGACGGTTGCTCACTCAGCCCTGTGCCACATAAATTTCACGGCAATCAGCCGGCGCTGCAAGTCATCCAAACTTCATTTGTTGCTACTTGGGTTCTGCTTTTGCTCCTGCTGCTTCTACTCCTGCTGCTGTATCTGCAGAATTCTGGATCCCGGCTCCTGCAGCTGAAATATTGCTTCCATTATTTATGTTAAGTTTATGCAACATTCTCGGTGCTGCTGCTGCACCAGCTTTCCTCTCTTGTTTTTAATATCCTTCAGCTTGTAAAGGAATTACTCCTCAAGCCGGCAACTAAGAGCAAACTCAAGTCTCAGGCCATTCGGCTGTGGGTCTACCCATTTTTATCATCTTCTTTTATTTTCGGTTCGTCTATTTCCATCATTTGCCTCGTTATTCAAACATCATCATCTTTCTGGTTCATTGCACTAGGTGCGGCCAAGTACAGATAACAAGGCGCGCGGTGTTATTGCCATCGAGTGCATTAATAAATCAATTGTTTTTGCATTTCAAAGAGCCCGTTTTGGTTCAGTGATGGAGTGGAGCAGAAATCTGAAATGTAATCGCAGCCAGACAAAGCAATTTGCCAAGAAATGAACTCTAATTGGTTCACTTTGAATGGTAAAATGGAAAGAGGATAAAGACAATAAGGGATATTTGCTATTAACAATTTGAATAAATTTAATCCTTTGACGAATTGATATATTCATTTACTTAAGCTGAAGGAAAGTTAAAAGCACTGTTAAATGTTATCTACCCTTTTTATTTTCTTCAGAAAATTGTGAATTGAAAATGTAGTGAAACCCACGAAATTCGTTACTTTGCAATTGTAATAAATTTGCTTCTTATTGAGTATATAAATTAAAAAACAAATATTTTTAGTGATTAGCAAACTAAAATAGTTATTTTACAAAACACGATAAAAAGTTATACTGACAATAATAATTTCTATTTATTTTTAAGTGACTACAATCAGATATGTTTTGCGTTCAATGTTAGGGTATTTCATAATGATCTTTAGTTTTTTAAATTCTTTATTGAAAATTGCGTTTATTAAAATGTACAGTAATTGCAATTGCTTTTAAAATATTTCCTCTACCCTTAAAATCTGATACTTCCGAACATTTTTAATGAGGCCAAATATTTGTAGTCAAAAAAGCAATCTTAAAATTCGCGGAAACTAACCATAAGCGGTTTGGTTACCAAAATGTACCACAAGAAAATATGTACTTGTGTGTTTTTGCCTCAAGCTCATTAAGTGCTTGGGGCTCTCCCTACCAGAACATTATTTTCCCCTAGCTCAAACAAAGAATAAAAAAGGAAAAACCAGAACATTTACTAATTAGCACTCCCAAGGCTACACACAATGAATGTAAAATTATCAAAACGTTTTTCAGTTGTTTTTTTTTGTTTTATTTATTTGTGGTATTAATAAGGAAATAAAGGAAAAGATTTGTTGAAAACAGTTGTCGAGGATGTAAAAAACTTATTCATGGCAGCGAAAGGAAAACGAATTTCAATGCATTTCTGCCTGCACTTTATGACATTGCGCTGAATATCTTACTACATTTGTCTTACACTAGAAAAATCATAAGTTTTTCAAGGAAAGAATTAGGAAAATGGTTATATTATATTAGACCAAAGAAATGGTTAGTTTCAAATAAAATCATTTTTTTTATTGAATCATGCATTTTTATTTTAAATGTTATAATTGTTTAAGCCTCTTCTTAAAATGTAATACATTTGTATAGTACGTATATTTCTTTAATTTTAATGGAAGAGATTTGTGTAGTAAACTTTCTTATTTTAATCATTTTATATATTTACTGTAGCTACAAAAAATGTCAGGAGAAAGGACAAAAAAAAGTTGTTCATTTTCAAACAAAAATGTGAATGGTTTTATCAAAATGTAATAACTTTTATTTTGTCATTACATTTATATTTTATTGTTGCCAACTTGGTGGCGTAGTGTATCCAGATTCAGACATCTGCAAGCAATGCCATTTGCGATGGCTGTCAGATCACCAGCCTGGCCGACAATTCTCCTGTCGCCGAAAGAGACAGCCTGAGTGGAGTGAAAGGGACGGGTTGAAGGAGATGACAGCCATGAATGCCATTTCTTCTGCTACCTTCAAGCATAATTTACATTGTGTTCCAGCTTGAGTGTGCAGTTGAGGCTGTCTTTTATGGTTTGTCTTGGCTCGCTTCGTTTTGGTTTTTGGATTCCCTCGCTTTCCTTGCTTTCAGCTTTCAGCTATTATTCCTTTCCTTAGTAAAAATTCCACTTGTCACTTCAGAGGAATTTCGTTAGTGAAAGGCTTTCTTCGAGTTGCGCGAGCGGAAACGCTGGTTAGCTTCAATTTATACATGTCGGGCTTGTTAAGTTGTGATTGCGCTCTGGCCTAAAAGTGGACATTGGCGTCCTGATTGCATCATAATTACCCAACTGCCTCCGTCCCGGATTTTTCCCCCTAAGTGCTTTTTAACGAGCTCTCTTCGGTTGCTGCTGCCGTTTGCTGTCCGTTGGAAATAGGGCCAAAATAGCAAAACAAAAAAATTCGAGCATTTGTTTCCCCCCAAATCGGCATGGCCATTTCGCTTTCAGCCGCTCTCCAAACTCTGTCGTAATAATCTGCTACATGGACCCCATAATTTGTAATTTCAACCTAATTACTTCAAGCCCAGCGAAGGCTTTGTGGGCGTGGGGGATCGAAAGGGGAAATGAGAGGCTAAACAATGTTGTCGGCAATAAAATGTCAAAAACCAAAGCAAAGCAACAAAACGCCCATTTCGTCGGAATCACACACACACATGAAGGCCAAAAGGACACGCCTCCTCACACGCACAGTGTGTATGATTTTGGATTTGTGTCCTTTGCTGGCGACATATGTTAATGATCTGACAGCGATTTCTAGGTCATTTCAATTGATTTTTACGCATGTTGGGTTTTTTTCTTATTTAATTAAAAGTAATGGAAAAGGAATGGCGCCTATAATTATTATAATGATATGTTAAAAATCTTTATATTTTCTTTATTTACTCATTATCACTTCTTAGTGATATTATACGCTTTTACCAAACTTTACTAAGCTTCTGGGGTAGAGCACATATTTAGGTTGGAAAACTTATGTTTATGAATGGTCGATTGGGCATAAGTTTAGGAAACAGCATATCTTTTTATTCAACATGATTTTCGTATGGTCCTGCAAGAGCCCTTTGACCCGCTCCTTCACCTAATATCTTATAGAAAATGCAAAATGAAATAAATCAAAATATTTTAAAATTCATTTGCGCATAAAATGTTGTGGACATTCCGAAAAAACAAAGTCAATTTGATTGAATTCTCACATTTCATAAATGCATTAGTTTAATGCTTCAACGGCTCTAATAAAAAATTAATTTTATTGGCGTGACGAATATATTTATATACTTTCCAAATAGTTTTACAAAATATTATAAAAACCAACATTAATAAATGCATACGCATCAATATTTTAACCCTTGTCAGACGGCGACCGATTAAATACCGAAAATTCGGCATCAAAAACAGAACTTTATTTTTGGCAGAATTAAATATTTATATATTGAAGCGCCAACTCAGTTGAGTTGAGTAAGTGGATCAACTGAATCACGGTCGCTGGAGAGGAGTTGTGAGAATGGACGGGAATTCAGGATGAGTCTGGCAATGCAGGAAGTTGATATGGAATGTTCATTCATATTTCATTTTGCGAAATTGTTCGCGACCAAGTCAGAGAGTACAGCAGATATGTCAGCCTAACCAGTCAGTTGAAGTGCAGTTGAATGGAAAAACAAGACACCAAAGCAGATGGTTTAAAGGCTACTCGGATATCCTATCTATATAAGCTGTGAAATCGTGATTTAGATTTCAGAAAATTACAGTTAGAAAATCTTGTAAAATTGAATTGTATTTTTCAAATTGGGTTATCAGAAGAAAGAATTGAAAAATGGATTCACAAACTCGTTTGAATAAAAACAAATTTTAAAAATAAATATAAAATATATACAAAATTTATTATATAGAATACCAATTTTTAAAATTGATTGGTTGACAAAACCTACAGGATTAGTGTGAAAAATGGTTTCTTTATTTTATAGTTGTATAAATATTGTAAGGAAAACATCACAAATAGACTTTTATTATCACTTATTCTTAACCGGTAGAATAAAGTTAACTCCATTTTTACCATAGTAAGAAAAACTGTAAAAATGCAACAAACGAAATTGGAGTGCAATGGAAATGTCGTCATATAACGCTGGCAACAACAGTAACAACAGAAATCAGCGGTCACCATGACGTTAACCGTAAAAGTAACTGTTACAATGACACAGCCGTTACTGCCGGCCATCCATCGTCGAGCAACGCATTTCTGGGACCATAAAATAGTAACATCAATGGAACGCATTCATACGTGGCCATATTCGTGTACGAGCCGCCGCACAGACGTCGACTGGCCGGAATAAAGTGCTATTAATAATAAATGTTGCATTGGCAGAGGGCGAAGGCGAGGTGGCAAATGAACTTGGCAAACCGAGAGCCGAAAACAAGCAACGGCCAAACAACCAACCAGTCATAACCCCTTTCATTCCCCGCGATGAAAACTGAACTGCAATGCGTACCCCCATTGTTTGCATTCCAATCAAGTGGGTAGTATGATTGCAATTTGAAGAATGCAACGACAAAACAACAAAATGTTGAGGATCTCTTGAAATATTCGCAATAAAGATTTCCGTTTACTTTATAATTACATTTAAAATTTAAAAAAATCTGTTTTTTAACAAAAAATTTAATGAACATAAATACCAATCACTCTTGGAGATTTCTTGAAATATTCCCAGGTTTCACAATAAAAATTTTGGATTACTTTCAATTATGTTTTAAATTTAAAAAAACCTTTTTTTTTTGGTTTAAACAATTTTTTAATGCCAATCAAATGGGTTGTACGATTGCAATTTAAAGAATGCAACGACAAAACAACAAAATGTTGAAGAACTCTTGAAATATTCCCAGGTTTCACAATAAAAATTTCATTTAACTTTATTAATATACGTTAAATTTGAAAAAATAGGCAAGATTTCTATGTTTTTTTTGTTTCAAATATTTTTTTAACAAAAAATTTAATGAACACAAATATTTTTTTCATTTCTATGGATGTTTAAAAAAATATTTGAATTATTTATTTAATAATAATAATTCATCAGTTAAGTTACTTATATCTGACTTAAGATTACTTTACTAATTAAATTATAAGATTAAATCAATACATACAAAATAAGTCATTGATATCTTAAAAACACTTAGGAGGCATTTTTTGACATTACTTTTAAAATTAGTTTTAATCATCATCAATGGCATTTCAATCAAGAATATCAGTTTTCAAAATAGGATAAGCTTTGATTTTTGTATGCATATTTTTATATGCAAAACTTTTGCTAAAATAATCAATTACAAAATGATAAAGTAAGGGCATATATGGTTTCGATCCTTTTGCGTTCGCTTGTTGCTGGTGTAAGTTGTAGTCAACATACAACATTGAAAGGCCCAGTAGCTGCAGGAGCACAATACCAAATAGCAGGACGACTGCCATAATAATAATAAATGCCATAATCCCCTGAAATCGGCGCTCCTCTGTGGCCATTTCTCCGCCCCTTTTCACTGCTTTCTCCATGTGTGTTGGCTGCATTTTTATTTTTATTTCCATTTTCATTGTTTTGTCTGCAGCAACAACAACCGCATCAACAACAACAAACCAAATAACAACAGAAACAATGGACGAATGCAATTCGACGCGTCAAGTGAATTAAGCGATTTTTAAAGCTTTACGCTAAATGAATTTTGAATTTCCAAAGTGTTCACTTGTGTGTGCAAATTAAATTACGCAAATCAAATAAATGTTTTAACGAAAAAGAAATAAATGTAATAGGAAAAAATTAAGAGAGGCAAAATCAAACAAAAATGTCGCTCAAAAAGTACCAACTACAGTGTAAATAATTCAACGAAAAAACATTTTGCACAAAGCATAGATAAAATTGAAAATATTTCAGAGCAAAAACGCAACAAGAAATAAAATAACATGTTTATTTTAACGGTAATTAAATTGCTCCTGATAGCACTAAATATATTTCCCAGTCGATTCACAAATCGACGGATTATGTTCCTCATCTACATGACAAATCTGGTGACACACGGTAAGCAACAATATTCTAATTTATTGATTTTCGCATTTGCTTAATTTTATTGGGGATTATTTATGTTTTTGTATAACTGTAAAACAGTTTTATCTTGGTAATAAAATGTATTTCAAAATACAATTTAATCTTATTTACTTTGAGATAAGCTTGTGATAAGTCGATGACAACGTTTTGTTTTATACATTTAAACGAGGATTATTAATGTTAATAGGCTTTAAAAAATGTATGACAGAATAAGAAGTTTTATTTATGACTACTAGTGCAAGGGAAATAAATTATTTTTGAATGCATAATCTAGATAAAACTTGTGGTAAAAAATATAAATAAAATTCGCGTCATTAATTACCACTAAGTTTTCCCTTTTGGAAAAGGATTCCTTTAGAATTCTTTAATAAGCATTTCTCATATTTCCGCCACCGAATACGTGTTGTTTTCCATGTTGAAACTGTCGGATCTGGCCATAATTTAATTAAGAAAATGAGACCTCAAAACGTTGGAAACGCCGCTTGTCCTCGCAGCGGGACCAAAACTCCAACCCAAACGCAGGTGAAAGCCGTGAACCGTGAGACAGGTGCAATGCTGGTGCCTACCGGCCAAAAGGGGCGTGGCTGGGAGTGAGGGACGAGGGGCGTGCTCCGACTGCATGACGCAGATAACACGCCAACACGGCCCCCATCAAGTTGGCCAGAAGGTAGACATGTTTATACCCAGGGTGCAAGGGTATATTGAATTTCGAGAAAGTAAAGAATTGAGTTCTTGCTCCTCATTACATTTAACTCGTATTTTAGAAACAAAATAGCGAAGGCAATTGGTTCCCTTTTGCACTTCCGTACAAAACATTTTAATTTTTGGATATATTTGATCAGCTTTTGAATATTCTAGAAGAAAGTTAGTCTATAAAATTTGTCAGACCATATTATTTTTTTAAATTTGTATTTATTTATATGGCATAAGTAGATTGTAGACATATGTACATATGTGTCACCTATTTATTTTTTTACAAAAAGGTTTCAAGAATGCTTAGTAGATGGTCATTTATAAGAATTTCTAGAAGACAAAAAGTAAAGTTCTCGATTACTAGGTAGTAAAAAGTTGCAATGAAATGTAGTATATGGTTAAACAGGTATCCCAGAGTCGTGGCTGAGAATAGTGTTTATATTATTTTCGCTTTTTGTGCAGCACTTCCGCGGCAAAGACAACGGCACGAACACGAGCTGAATGCATAGAAAAGGAAAACAGAGACAAAAGTTGCATGAGGCATCCTCAACAGGCGGCGACTACGTGCTGCCATTTCGCCCCACTCCCTTCCAGATAAAAAATTGCTTTGTTTAATTATTTCATAATGACGCTGCGGCTGTGGCTGCCACCGTTTTTGTTGCCGTTGCTGCTGTTGATTATATTTGGCCTGTGGGTCAGGGATTTCCGGCAACAGCTGCTATTGCTCCTCCATCAACATTTGCACTTCTTTATTTTTATTACCCGGCACACTCCGCTGGGCTTTAATGACTTCGTTATGGTTTCCATGGCGAGGGCTGTGCTGGCCTTCCACACAAATTATTCATACGTACTTAAGAATTTTTCGCAAACTATTTTTGGCAGAAATTTTCCTTCCGAGCTCAGTAAGAATTTAAGAAAATTCAAAGGACCAAAAAATTCGGAGAATATCATCGCATTGGTTTTTCTTTTGATCAATTATTTAATTCAATTATTTACATTTCACAGTATTAACAGAAGCTAAATATCCCTTTTTCAACGGTTTTTGCCAGAAAAGCTTTTCAAAGGATTGATATGTGTATATTGATATGGGTTTTAATTTGCTAAGTGAGGCCTTAAACAATTTGTGGTGCTACGATTTTTTATTTGAGTCCGCTGTTCTTTGGCTTAGTCCAATTAATCTGTTTCGAATTAATATGGAAAAATTTGGAAGCTCACATTTCTTTACCGAATCAGCTTTTCTCCATTTAAAAAAGCAACTGAGTTTTAATACCGGTATCGCAAGGATGCAAGAGGATTGCTCCCAAATTGGGTAAATGCTGCATTACCCCTTTTTTTACAAACTTATTTTTGGTATAAGTTCAATAAAATTAATGTGAATATAAGATATATAGCTTTTCAGACATACAATAGGATAAAGCTGCATTAAGTCGGCCGTCATTTAGGTTGGGAACTGAATTCTTTTTTGTTTGATTATGTAACGTGATCATTATAAAACTTCTTCATATCGCTATTTTATTTAATTAATTCAAAAAAAATATTACAGAGTATAATTTTTCATAAAGTTTAAAGTTGGGTTGTAATAGGTAAATCTTTTACCATCAACATTTGAAGTCTATGCTTCTTTTGAAATTATTTTATTTCTTCAACTTTGAATAATAAGATTATTTTTTATAGTCCTTAATAAAACAGATTTTCTCTTTAAAAGTATTAAGTATTAAAATAATTACCCACATTTTTAGGAAAAACAAATTCTGTTAAGCCATTACCGAAAGTATAATTTTGTATCTGTCTCAGTTTACTTTTGATATGTAAATATAGTACAATTCCACCACTTTTTTACTTTCTTTCACCATTTTCCGGTTAATCAATTTGGTAGGGCCTTAAAGTTTTGCCCCTGTAATTTTTAGCAATCGTAATTCGAGCATTATTTTAGTCATCACTCAGCGGGTCTAAGCTTCATCTGTAGTCAAAGGGAAATTCAGTTGGTCAGGCGTGGTATTAGGTTTCTTCAATTGACTCTTTCACTCATTAACTAACTAACTGAATTCCTTGTCGCCACCTCTTTTCATTCGCAGTCATGATGGATGAGCCACGTTTTGCCCAGCCGATACCAAACGTTACTGTCGCCGTGGGTCGAGATGCCAATCTGCCCTGCGTTGTGGAGCATTTGGGGGGCTACAAGGTAAGAGGCGGGGAAAGGGAAAATTCCAGTGAAGTGGGAAGGTGGGAAAACCCCGGGTAGGAGGAAAAGCTTGGGCAAACTGTCATAAATCGTGCGTAAACTGAACGCCATGGCCGAACCTCGGCCACTTGATGAAGGAGTTTGCAACCGAGACGGACACTGTCAAAAATCAATTTCACAAATTGCCATAGGACCGAAGCGATGGCAATTGACTGACTGACTGACTGATAGGCAGGCAGAATGACAGACTTTTTGGGGGCACAATTGGCAGCTCGAGATAAAGAGGCCTATCAAAATATTACTACGAATACAATGGAAATTCTGCACTCACCGTCGATGACTTTCAGCTGTCATTAGCAAGTCAAACTTTTGTTTGCCCGAAGACACAATTTATGGGGCCCGGCCTGCGATGCATATATGCAACTAATCCACAATAAGCTATGGATAGAGGACTGGCCTGGACGGAACCTCTGGCGCTCTCTCGACCATACAAAATGGCTAGAAAATCACTTATCATTTATCTCCCTCAGCTGCTGGCACACAGCGAGCTCATAACAAATCACAAATATTTACTCGCCATATCAACTTCATATAAAACACTGTCCCCAGGACCAGGACCCAGCTAGGACACGAGTCCTTGCTCCTTGCTCTTATTGGACTTTTGTCAACATTGGGCTGGACATGAGAAAAACGGTAGAGGACAGTAAGGCGAGAAACTCATTGCTGTCAGTGCTGGTGCTGAGGGTAAATTTGAAAAGTTTGCAGCTGACTCAAGGCCGGGAAAATCCTTCCACCAGAAAGAATCCGTCTCTCCAACACAGCGTGAAAAAATCAGGCTTTAATAGACAAAATTATTCTTAAAACCGTAGCAAGTCAGACTGAATAAGCAAACACTTTAAGAATAATATTTTTTAAAAAATTTTATTTTACTTAAAGCGCTTAGACAGATTTATTTTTATAATTTATTAGTGCTGCAAAAATGTACAGAGTTTATTCCAAAAACTGATAAAACTGATAATTTTCTAAAAGTGGTTTTTACATAGTAAATGCTTTTTTAAGTTTTTTCAACTAACGAGAAGATTTTTTAGCAATAATAAAAAGTTAAAAAACTTGCAAAACTTTAAACAACTTTTAGTAAAAATTGTCATGTACTTAAGTACCAATATGGAAACCACCAAATATATATCCAAATGAAGTTAAAATAATGCAGTTTTCACACATTCGATAGCCTAATGAACATTATATCTCTCCGTGTATCCTGTCTTTTGGTGCAAAGGCGAAACGATTCCCAAAGAAAGTGCGAACAGAAGGAGAAAAAAAGTGTATTAAAAATGCGGAAACAGCTGTCAAGCTGGCTTTATCCTCGGGTCCTGCGTCACAACATGACGTTCATTTATAATGGCAGGTTCTCCACATGTGTTTTAGCAGGGAGCCTGAACAGTTGGGTCTTTAAAGATAGCCTTGAGGACTTTCGACATTAACTGGAAATCGATTTTGAAAATGTCCCTCGTTTTGCAGGTGGCCTGGATACACATAGACAGGCAAATGATACTAACGATTCACCGACATGTGATATCGAGGATTCCGCGATACAGCATCACCTACACCGACAACACGTGGTTGCTGCACGTCAATCAGGCTCATCAGGACGATCGCGGCTACTATATGTGCCAGGTCAACACCAATCCGATGATTAGCCAAGTCGGCTATCTACAGGTGGTGGGTGAGTATACACCTTGTTGGCCTCTCTAAATCAACTGGAGTCATTTCGATTTTGAATTTTCACCATCTGCTGCGTAGTACCGCCAAACATTTTGGACATTGAGAGTACGCCATCCTCGGTGGCGGTGCGTGAAAATCAAAACATCAACATGACTTGTCGGGCAGATGGCTTCCCGGCCCCAAAAATCATTTGGCGTCGTGAGGATGGCGAGGAAATTGCCGTCGAGAAGAAGAAAAAAGGTAAGAGCAATGGGGGAAACACTTTTTCTCCTTTCGAAATTTAACAAATTTGTTTAAAAGTACTGTGCAAAATTTAAGATTTGGCTTAAATGTAAGCCATATTTTATGTTTTAGTTAACTAATCACTACAATGAAATCACATAAATTTAATGCTTTAAATGTATATAATTATATATTAAACAAGTTTTTATAAAATCGAAATTTTAAGGTAATTTAGGTGGAGTTAATTAATATTTGTAATATATTTAGACAGTTTATTAAATGCATTTCGTTTACTTAAAATTATTTAACTCATTGAAGGAATCCTAACCTATTTGATCACCCCCTTGAAATAAAATGTGTGTACAAAATAATTATACCTTTTAAGCAATTGCTTTGTTTATCTCTCACAAAACTATGTTTGCTGAAATATCAAACGATCAACATTCCCTCTATTTGGAATGGTTTAGCTACTCGTGATGCATATTTTAGAATTTCAATTCAAAATTCTCAATGTTTTTTGCACGTTTATTTCCATGCCCCCAACGTTCACCTGCCAATCAAAAACGGCGCCGAAAACATCAGTTCTCGTGTACGATGGCGATGTTCTGCCACTGACCAAAGTGAGTCGCAATGAAATGGGCGCCTATCTGTGCATCGCCACCAATGGAGTACCGCCCTCGGTGTCCAAACGGATCATTCTGGATGTGGAGTGTGAGTATTCGATTACCGGAGGGCATGAACTCAACCAAATGAGGAATGAAATCTATTCCTATCGGGGGCAATACGGGGGTAAACGGGGTGCATATTATATTAGTCCGTAGTTGGCTGCCTTTGTCAGTTTAGTTGAAACACGCGCGCGCACTTACCGGAACGCGAGGAGGCCATTCATCCAGCCAGGCCATCCATCCATCTATCCGGCCATCCCGGCTTACTGGCATCCATCCAGCTATCCAGCCATCCAGCCATTCAACCATCCAACCATCTAGTTTTCGTGCCATATTCCTTCATGGAGCTGCGCATCGCCCGCTTTTTGTACCTGCTGCTCATCAATTTAACTGCACGCTCGTTGCTCCGGCAATGAGTGACAAACGCAGCTAAGCTGCCGCCATCTAATGCAGCTGATATATAACAACGAATACGTGTATAGAATACACGGACAGAAATAAAGTTAAAAGTTAATTAGCTGAGGAATTGAGCGCTATCTTTTCAGTGAAACTATTTTATTTTTAATGCAACAAATGATTTTTAATAATTATTAAAATTAGGGGAGCGAGCTTTCTTATTCATAATGTAAAGACGTAAAGCAAAATGAAGCCAATAATTCAAGTGTTAATACTTCGATTTGATTGTTATTAAAACCATTTTACAAATATACAAATAATTGATCAAAGAAGTGTTTGACTTCTTACCTAAGAGTATTGAATTATTATTTAAATTAAACAAAATTAAAGGGAGAATATATTTTTTTAGACGCGTTATTAATATATTAAATAATTACAATTTTTAAAGGCAATATATTAGGGATGTGTTTATTAGAATACGCATACAGAAAGTTTTCAGCAATATTGAAAATGAAACTATTGGCTTAAAGTCACATGTCTTGAAGCATAAATAAAAGACAAGAACGTTTAAAAGAAAATTCGTCTTATCTCTTAAAAACCTAAAAATTGTTGCTAATAAAATAACAGTCTGACAGAATGGCATGCCAAAATATTAAAATAAACTTTAAAATTGGTTTAGGTATGCTAGATTCCTTAAAGAATTTTTGTCAGTGAATTTGGAGCAGGGGATATGGTGTCCTGTCGCTGGGCGTAAAAGTTACGCTGCCATTGCACGCCGTGCGCCAGTAAACGCTTGTTAATCCTAACGAGTTTCAGCCAGCCCTCCCCTCCCCCTCCGAAGCCCAACTGCCCCCGACTACGCCCCAGATCCACCAATTTCGCCCCCCTTGACAATAATTCACGTCACGTACCTGCAATAAAGTCACTTGCCGGCGTTGCACGTATGACTTTGACGGCGTTTTTCTGTTTCACCGTGTGTGTCTATGTGTGTTTTTCTCTCTATTTTATTATGAACGGTTTTGTGCGTGGCTGAACCGGGGGGCGTTGAAAGGGGGTGTGGCACATGGAAGGGAGCAATCCTCATATTGCAGGTGTAGGCATTGTCAGGAGCGTTTAAAATTTCCAACTAGCTCGTTGTGCTGCTTTCAATTTTGTTGCTCGGTTGGAAAAGGGGTTTCGGTTTCGGTTTCAGGTTTAGAGTTGGGACCTTTGGTGCCTAAAAATGAGCAACCTAATATACAGTCTCGTTGAGGCTGGCTTGAAAAAAACACATACATTTTGTGTTAAGTGAGATGGAAGGCTTAATATATTGAGACTGAGACAAAGACTGATGTTAGGCGATTTGGGAATGATGACCGAAATGGGCTTAGTTTAAACTTGGGAAACATACAAAAGAAATTTTGATTTTCGTTAAAGAGAAGTAAAATATATTAAAGGTGTATTATTTCCTTAATTTTCATTTTAATAGATATTAACCATTGCTCTTTAACAAACCTTACATTTAAAAACTTAAAACGACTGAATACAAATATGTATATCATTCTAACCAGTTCAAACATTTTAAACTTATACTAGATATTTTGTTTATTCACCTTAAAATAAATTTACCAACAATAAAGAAGAAAGACTACAGCTGATATTAATGCCTTATTTTTTTGTTTTATAACTAAATATCAGAATAAATTTAGTTTCCTTTCTGGAAACTCCTCTATGCCCATCGCAGCACTATGAGACAAACCCATCCGGAGCACGTACTTCCGGCTAAACTTAGTTTCCCTGGCTACGTACTTCCATTTTGCTGACGTGTTGTCTTAGCCATATTGTATATCGCTCCACTTAAATGCGGGCTGTTTCTCCCGTCTTAGTTTTCCAGCTTTGTCATTGCACTTTCATTTTAAGCCGGCGAAAAAAACCGACAGACAGAATGGGGAATACGTTGAACAGACGTAATGCTGCCGCTTATGCGTGCTTTGCAGCGACACCTGCCTCCGCGTTCCCCGCCACCTGAGTTCTCCCCCAGGTGCCATTTACATTTGCTAACGTACCATATCAACCTATTTTTTCGCTTTTATCCTTTTCCGCAGTCTCACCCATGATTTGGGTGCCGAATCAACTTGTTGGCGCTCCATCCGGCACAGATGTAACCATCGATTGCCACACGGAGGCGCATCCCAAGTGAGTCTCTTCGTACTGGTTTCCCTTACCTGTTCCTTTTGCCTTTAGTTTTCCTTTTACTAAATTTGTTCTGTTCAATTTTATGTAGCATATATATTAAAGCTGGGTGCCTGAGACATTTTTATTTCGACTTTTCTGTTCAACTCCCTTTGACAGCATTTTAATTTATTCCGTTTATCTGTAGATAACAACTTTTTATACAATTTAATTCCTGAATATTATTTTAACTAATTACATTTTTAGATGAAAAGATGAATATAAGTATATATATATATTTTTATTTTTGGGGTATAGTTGGTGTGATTCATTTTAAAACCCCATTTAATGATTAAAACTCCTTAAGCATACTCACAATATATCAAATATAAAATATATAAATAAAAATATTTCCAAATTTAAATTTAAAAATGTATTTGCTGTTCCTAAAGTTCCTAAATTTGTTCAAGAGGTCTTTTTTTTAATCTTCATTTCAAGGCTGGGAAACTATTATTTTAAAAAACTTTTTACGACTGTACATATTTTTTGTATAAACGTGATTTTTGTATTATTTTTAGATGTGTATTCTGGGTATGCTCCTCTTCATTCCGTTCTATTTTTATTGGATTTAACAAATTTGGCATTGCACCTGATTGCAGTTAGTTGTGTGTGTCCGTGAATATTTCAACTGGTCTGTGTATGCTGCATTTTGCTCATTCGATTTCTCATTGATTTTGTTAAAATATTTACATTCATTTGAGAATTTGATTAGTTTTCTTATATCCGTGTATGTGTGTGTGCGAATCACATTTTCGTTTACATTCGATTTGAGTTTAACTGGTAATGCTGAAATGTTTTTTCCCCTGCAGGGCCATCATCTATTGGGTATACAACTCGGTGATGGTATTGCCGAGCAAGAAATATAAGACCGACTACACGGAGAACTCCTATCGGTAAGTCACTTTAAAACAAAAACAGCATATCGAATAAAAATAAACTACAACATCGAAAATTGTGTTGTTAAATATTTATCATGCATTTGCACTTGCCTTTTGGGGGTCAGGTGCAAGTGCAAATGCTTTCGCCCCCGAACTCGAAGATAAGCTGGCGAAAGGAAAACTATTCTATGGATATGTGTCCTTAAGCTTAACGTATCCTTTTGCAGTGCCCACATGAAGTTGACGATAAGAAACCTACAATATGGTGACTTTGGTAACTATCGATGCATCTCGAAGAACTCGCTGGGGGAAACGGAAGGCTCCATACGTGTTTACGGTAAGTGCATTTGTATTGGTAACTTAAGTGCACTAGTTACGGCACACAGACACACACACACACTCACCCCGAGCTGTGCAATATCGTGCGCCCTTTGTGGCACAATTTTGCCAAAAGCTTTTACCTATAGACCCGGAATCCTCACGACCCTCCCAATATGTGCACTATACGTTGTCCTCTAGAGCGTAAAACTAAACGAGCGGTGGCTGGTGTCTGGCCGTATCTGCCCCATGTTCTCCACTCCTAACCACCCATCTCATCCACCCAGTATCATCATACCCCGTGGCAACACGGAGACACATTCACCATAAACGTAAACGGAAAATAAAGGTGAATTTCGGAATTGTTTGACTTTGTATCGTTTGCTAGCCCAAGGAGTCCACTATGGGGCCAACGACCACTTTTGTTGGCCAAAATTAATAACTCGCTCAATTTTAGAGATATCGAGATAAAACTTTACCAATCGTTTTTTGGTATCCTTAGGCAACATATATGTTAATAAGAATAGGATCGAACAAATATATCCCATAGATGCCATACGATCGATATAGTCAACTTTGTTATTTTTAAGATAATCGAATAATTTTTTTTTTTATTATATACTTTATAATTACATTTATATTATATTTTTTTATATTTTTTATATCTGCTTCGAATAGAATTCAAAATGCAAGACAAAATGTTCTTCGTTCCACAAAGATTCAATGTAAATGCACAAAAATCGGATTAAACAAATTTTATTAATAAGTAAAAAAATGGCACCTGCTATTAAACATCATGCTCTTCGGATTCTAGTTCAATATTTCATTGAAAATCAAAAGGATTCTAATATTCAACGCAACTACTGTTAAGGTTGCAAAACTTGAGGTTATGTGCTTAAAAATTAAATTTCGGAAAAAGTGGCAATAAGTGGCGATTCTAACCATATACATTTTAAAAAGAATTTAGTACTCTACAAATCTCAATAGGTTTCAGAAGTGGACTCCGCTGGACTCACTTTGTTACTCTACTTAAAAATTAGTTTTCTAATTAAAAAACGCGTTTTAGACAACTCACTTTAACACTTAAGTACAAAGAAAGCACGATAGATTTCAACCGTTTAAACACACAAACACTTAGTATACACCACCATTCATCGAATTCATATCACAAAAATTTTTTGGAACGCTTATAAACTGCTTTTTTTAACGCTTTAAAAATGCAATTTAAAAGTCGAATTTCAAAAGCACGTGGCTTGCATCTTAAACATCTGATTTAACAGCTGTTATCTTAACAGAAGCGCACTCTATCGGAATTCCTGAAACGTAACATTGCAGATTGGTCTTCTGTGAATATATCCTAAAACAACTTTTTTGGATTTGACGACTTTTTAAAAATGGGTTTTGGCCAACCAAAGTGGTCGTTGGCCCCATAGTGGAGTCGCCTCTAACATATACTACACATCTCTAGTATATACGTACGTGTGTGTGTTACCTGCATTTATTTATTTATTTTTATGCACTTTGGCTGTTTTCGGGTTTTTTCCTCCTGTTTACAAGTTGCCGTTCAGCTTGTGCACATGGCAAATGCTAAAGATGTACTGTGCCAAAGGTTATCGCAAACACCCGTTGAACTTGGCTTCTTCGTTGTTATTTTGGTTTTGGGCTCTTGGGTTAAAAAGTTAAAATTAAAATCAACAGATTTCGATAGAGCTTATAACGTTTATAAATATTGAAAATAAGATAACATTACCGGCAAATGGTTGCAAATAAATTCAAATTTAAATGCTTATATTAATTATATTCATTTAATTTATTATCAGTAAATGGGTTATTCAAAATACTTAAATGAAAAAAATAATTTTCGTGTAATTATAGGCACTTTTATATTTTACTTTTTATGTCTTGATCAATTAATTTTTTTAAATTAAGGTATAAACGACAAATCTCCAAAAAGTAGGCAATCATTTTGCGCCAATAATATTTTCCAACATTAAAAGCTGATTATTAAGTAATTACTAAGACTTTATTAAGTTAAACTCAGCAGTTTAATTGTGTTTGTGCTTAAAACCTAAAAGGCTTTTAACTAAAAGTAAAGTTTCTTTAATTTATGCACACTTTGAGCCGGGATCGAGTTCAACTGAAGCCTGGGGAGTGTGCGTTTGACCTTACCTGTAGAAAAACCCCTCTTGACATAGTAAACCAATGAGCAGCAACCGACATAAATTCTGCCGACATAATGTAATGAAAAACCATTTTGTATAATTTTATATTTTTGCGTTGGCCGCCTTTGCCATGCCTGCTGCTGGATGCCTTTCTAATTATTAATTATGCAATGTTATTCAATTCCATTTGCAGAAATACCTTTGCCATCCACACCATCCAAGCAGGTCACCCACACCACCGTCGAGTCCAGGGAGAGTAAGTATAGTATCAGTCGGATGCGGGGAAATGTGCGGAATGTTCCGTATTTGCGCTTAACACATTCAGCGTTGAGCGTGAAAGTCACACCGCACACACACACACTCACACATACACACAGGGGGGAAGGATACAGGATACGGCGAGCCACAAACAAAACTGCGAAAGTAGCAGCTAAGCCAGACAGATCCACAAACAGGGTGGCGCTGAGGGAATGAAGGGGGAGTGGGTGGGAAAAGGGGGAGTGAGACACGCCCACCAAGAGATAAAGTAAAGCACTTTTGACTACTTCAGCGACGGGGTTTTTTGCTTCCCTTCATCTCTACACACAGTCGAAAAAAGGCAATAGTTTTGTAAATATCTTTACTGTGTATACCGTACAAATGCTCTAAAAATCTATCAAAATTTCACAATAGCAATGTTTTAAAGTTGTACAATGACCTGTATTTGATCATCATGCTGCTTTCCAAATAAGTCTTGTTAGTTCACAATTATCAGTGCGCCGAGACAAATATAGCTTTATTTAAAAATAAATAATTGATTATTGATCAAACATCATACTCCTTTATATTTTACTTATTATAATTTAATTCTAGTTATCAAGAATTTAAATTATTATGAGCCGTTTTATTATTAAATAAGACTTTCATTTTAATGTGATCTGAAATTAAGTTAATATAAATTATTATTGGTATAGCTCAAAATTCATTTACTAAAAATATACACAAGCCTTATATTGATAAAAATTGTAAAATACAAAAATGTAAAATCACTTTGAAGTGTAGCTTACATTTTTTCTGTGTGCTTTTCTACGGCTCCTGTTGAAATTCAAGTCGAGCAGAAAAGTACACACACTTTCAAGTCTCCGTCCGGACTTGTGGCCGTGTCCTTTTCCCGTTCCCATGTCCAAGTCCTGGCTCTGGGCAAAGCAATATGCTGGGGATTATGCTGGGGCGGAGGAGGATTTTCGGGGGCATTAGGTTGGAAACACATTTGAAACACTGCCGCAGACTTTGAGCCCAAGAGCTAGCGAGCTGCAGAGCGGAGCAAAAGACCAAACATATTTTATTTAAAGTGACTGGCAAAGCAGCGCGCGAGCAATGCAACGGAACCTAATCCAGGAGTCAGCCAACAAAGGATGTTATTGTTTGTGTGTGTGTGTGCGGGTGTTCATGTGCCATTGCGTGTGTATGTGTCGATGCACATGTGTGAGTTTGTGCCTTTTGTACGGCGATATAAATTTTTTGTATCGCAGCCAAGATTTCCACGCAATTTAACTTGAAAACCATGTCAGGCTGGGGTTAAGTTTTGTTTAAGAGTCCGCAACTTTTACTAGCCAGTAGTGACCCACACATTAACAAACAGTTGACGACAAACAGGAGAACTCCTTGTCGATTTCCGACAACTTGAACTTTTTAAGGACTAATTTTTAACGAGAGGAACCAAATAAAAGAAAGGTTTAATAAAAAGTTTTTTGTGAAGAGAGTTTTATCATAAAATAACTCTAAAATTTTAATTAATTCGAAGACATTTTATCATTAATTTTATTTTTGATTTTCTATTTGCGGTAAATAATTATTATTCATTTTTTAGTGCAGTTTTTTGAAACGCTGAGAAAAAACAAAAAGTAAAGCTTGTTTGTAAGTGCTTGTTACCACTAAAATTAAAAAAAAGATATTTTAAAAATAAATTAAAGTTAAAATCTTCCTCGTTCTTGAGATAATTACTTGTAGAGTGACTACTGTATATTGGCCCATTAAACTATATAATTCCACATCTAATCTGCAGACAATATCATACCCTCATCACGCAACGACACAACGAAATCCCTGCAAACGGATGTGGGATATGCCATGAAGAACGATTTATATCCTGGCTCGGCCTCCTCATCATCATCGGGGGGCAGTTCCTCGGCGGCCTCCTCGTCCTCGACTTCCATGCAGACCTCCGCATTGCCAGGAGGTGCGGCGGGAAATAGTCTATCGTCTGTCGGCTCCAAGGGATCCCTGGCGATAGGCAAGAGCATGTTCTACACGGAACGACCACCGAATGAGTACTCCTCGTCAGTGGGTAAGTTCGATAGTCCTCGAACCCTTAAACAGTCCCCAACGTAAATCATATTTTCTCTAGCTGGCCTGCTGCTTCATAGAGCACTGCTGCTGGGCTCTGGATTCTATCTGGCCCTGCTTTGAAATCAATAAATCGTTTGAGTTACTCAATAAGCATTTAGGAAATGCAGCCAAAGGGGGTCTTGAAAAGGGGGAATAGTTTAGGAACATCAACATATTTCATAGCTGAAAGAATATCAAAAACGAATAATTATAATAAACAACACAAATGCTTCAAACTTGGCTCACTTCAAAGCTATAGAAATTTGTAAAATTATGAAAAACGAAATACAAAACTGAAAAAGTATTTTGCAAATCAATAAAATGCTCATTGTATGTATAGTATTAATGAAGTTCTAAGCTTAAGATAAACCACTGCATCATACTAAAAAATGGAGTAAAATATGAATTGTACAATATTTAAATTTAAACTTAAAATTTAATGTAGAATGGAGATTGAATGGTATATATTTATGATTTTTTTAAAGCGCCCAAAAGCAAAGCTTTTCAAGAGCGATTATTATTATTGTTATGTTTACTTTCACTTTCAACATATCCCAGAAAACGATATCCTGATGCTTAACTTACTCATATCACGATTAAAATTGTTCACTTTGTTTTGGAATTATACATATCTGAAACTCATATGCGTTAAATAGCTTTTTTATCCCTTTGGTATTTCTTTTGCAATTAATATTAAGTTTTACAATATGTAGTTTATATTAATTTAGAGATATCTTCCCAGATCAGTTAAAAATATTAAATGCTGGACTGCAATTAAAAAAGTTAAAAACCACGACCTTTAAAAAGCGGATATCTTCGTTCGATCCGTGACAAACTTGTCTACCCCTTTTTGAGCAGAAGCAAAAAATTCCAATTTATTTAATGAAGGAAAAAGTCAATGGCATGTCAAGTCAGCCACGCCCCCTTAACGCCCTACCAGGGCTTGGCATTTTGTTGCCATGTGGCATTTAAACGCCTTGAAAATCTCATTCATTTTTATCGTTTCCCTGCTGTCGGTGCTATGGTAAAAATTTGCAATAATAATTTGCAATGCCTTGATTTCGTTTCCTGGCTTTCGGCCTCGTCATCGTCGTCATCGGCTTTTGTGCACTTCCATCACTTTTTAATAAATGTGCATGCTAATTATATTATTACCCATACGACCCGTTGCCATGTGTCCTGTCCGCCTCACCTTTCACCGCCTCGACCCCTCGCCCCCTTGACCCCTCGTCCGTGCGAAATACTTGCAATTAATTTCAGCATAAAATTGCGTGGCCTGCGGTCTCCTGGCCCCGCACAATGACACACAGTTAACATGTCCAATTTATTGGCCATAACTCATGCCCGGGCAAAGGGAGTGAGTGAGAAGGATCTGGATCCAGAGACAGACAGCAGCGATATCGACGGGGCAAAGAAAAATGACATTAAGGCCAGAAGATATATGGCCCATTTGCATATAGGTTCATGTATATGTATAAACATGCAGGCGAAAAGCGGAGAGTTGCGGGTTAAAGGCCTGCCAATTTGCTGTATTTATGCCTCGGCGTCGTTGCACGATTTTAATAATTCAACTTGTGTTGCATAAAGTTTGCATTGACATAAACATAATGAACGATGGAAAACCGCATGCGAAATTGCCTTTCTCCGCCGGGCCAGAGGTCCCATTTCCATCCTCTTGCCCTTTCGTTTATTAACATTGTTAATGCCGAAAGAAAAAAAGCACATTCAGCGTTGAAAATATTGATAATCAACATTGTGCCCTGGATGTGTCGACGTCCTGACAATAACAAAATTAATGCATTTTATTTAATTTCCCCCGCAGACGGGGGACAGGAAAGTAAGGTCGCCTGTGCAGTTAACTCGAACAATGCAGCTAATTAAGCATTATAAATTCAGCTGGAAAGACGACAGGCCAAGGATATATGACAATCTTGTGGGAGTCGTAGATTTTCATGCTGTCGAAAATTTATCAATATTTATGTATTTATTTAATATTTATATTGCCTGAATAATAAACGACATTTTCACCCAGTTTGTAGTGCTCATTTGGGGCTTCAATAATTTGCTCGTCAAATGTTTACGAAATTCAACCACACATTTTATCTTAATTAGTAAATTGTGCTAATTAAAATTTTAGTTATGTTTGTAAATAAATCCATTGAGGTCATAACCATATTTTCGATGTAACCGAATACAGCTGTAAATAAATGTTGAGCATTTTAGTTGCGTGTAAATATGATAAAGTATAATTAAAGCATCACCAATTCACTTCATAAAATAACAATTAAGTCAGCCAGTAAATAATTTAAAATATATTAGTCAAAGCTCTGTCAAATAATTAACAATACCAAATGAAAAGTATGTAAAGTTCGTAAAACTAGGACATAATTAATTAACTCTTACATGGCAAGTAAACCAAAAAATACATGAGAAAAAATATAGCCTATACAAAGTAATTATATTGTTTGTTGCCTGTATTTCAAAAATTAGCTGAACATCAAATGAATAATGTGTAAAATGTTAAAAGCTTTTTGTGCAAATAAAAATATAAGAACGGATCTGTTTTCCTATAAACATGTTGGCATAGTGTAAAATAAATAAACAGGAATTATAACTAAAGCCAAAGTATTTAACTGTGAAATATTTTTAAATTATTTTGGAAACCTTTATAGTTTTCTTGAGTTTTTGTTTTCATGTTGTTTTTCTGTTGTTATTTGTTAATTGCTAACTAAGCTACTTATAAGCTCATAAGAAATTTTAAGAAATTTGTCTTACAAATTAGTGGACCACTTTCTTTTTAAATTTAATTCATTTAACAAAAAAATTGTTTGCAAAATAAGTAATTTGAGCTGGTTTATCAACGCTAAACTATTGTAAAATAAAAATTATCGAAGAAAAAACAAACTAAGGTAAATTAAACAAATCTACGATTAAGATTGATCAAATTAAATTGTAAGCAGTTATATAATTATGCGATAATAATTAAACAATAAAACTTTAGGTTGATTGATACCAAAAAAAAAAAGCGAACTCAACAAAACAAACAAAGTAAATGAACATAAATAACTGTTGTTTCATTAAACCATTTGCATTTGATTCTAGCTCTCAATTACATAGGGGAATGCCCAACGTTGTTGGTTTGGTTTTGGCCTGGCATTATGCAAATTTCCTCTTTTTCGGGGTTTGACATTCGGCGGTTGGTTTTAGCAATCCTCACCACACGAAAAAACAACGTTAATGAGCGCGTTTATTTACAGCAAGAGGCAAATTACAAACACACATGTGCACTGGCAATGTTTTTGGCAAGTTCTTCAATCCAATCCAAGAATTTCTTTATCAACAATCATCTAGTCAAATGTATTTCGCTGAGTGTAGAGCCGGCAGACCGCCAAAACCTCGGTGTGCGTCTACTAATTGTTTGAGTCACGCAAATAAATTTAACACAAAATATGCTAAACACTTTCTGGGACCCGCACAAGAAAAATGTTTAATAATTTAATGTTATTTGCATAGATTTCAGCCGCTTGAGCGTTGACGTGCAGCTATTAGCCTCGACACGCACCTCCAAAACTCCGAATTTACCAGAGAGTAACTTATCAAAAATGAAGTGGATAAACAGTGATGGAAAAAGTTCCCTTTTCACAGGATATAGTGTATAAATATTTCTATACTTAGACAACACGAGTAATGAATAACTTTGTAGGTATCATAGAAGGTAAATTTCAAAGCACCTCATTTGTTTAATGACATGCTCAATGGAAAAATATAATGGAAACATTTTATAACATTAAAAATTTACCTAGAAATTAAAGTACTTCCCTTGCTTTGTGTTAAAAGGTTCGAGTAATAAATAATTTTATTTAAATTTGAATAACAATTGATATTTTAATATAACATTTCTGATCCAACGTGCAAGCATTGAAAATTGTTGAACCATTAATCAACGTACTTAGCTATTTTATCGTACTAATTTGATGGGAATCATTTTTTTTAATCGTTCATTTAAAACTAAGGTTTAAAACATTAGTAATTTATTCCAACGAAACAAGGTGAACGGAAGTGACGCCAAATCGTTTTGCGTGCAAACCCGCTACGTATACGCAATATTTCTGGAACATTACTGAAGTTCCTCACACATCTGAGGGGTAACCACTTGGGCACACTAACATTATCATAATTACAGGGCTGTGGAGGGGATGATGGGGATTCCAGGGGTGGGGAGAAGTGGGCCGGAGACACCTTGCACTCTTATCTGAAATGCCTGCTTTGCGGCACTCGAGAAACTTTTCAAAAGTCATTTAAATTATGCGCACAAAAGCGCGAAAATTATGCCATGGCGAGACGAAGATTCAGACGCCACTTACAGCCACATATTTGTATATATACATTTTATGCAAAACGAAAGGCGGCCAGAGGCGGAAATACGAAGGGAGCCAGATAGAAGCGGAAACCACATTTGTCGGCAAAGTTTTGCCTACAGCCAGCCTCTCTCATCCACATCGCAAAAATAGTTGAGTGCAAAAGCGTGGAGCACACTTAAGATAAGCTTGGAGCACAAAACTTTCATCTTACAAATACGCGGACCCCCTTCTACGCCCCTGCTCTTTGCAGAAGGCATTCAACAAATTAATTCTGGCTTTGTCGCTGCAGGAAATATGTTTAATTTCATTTAAATGCAGTAAGTGCAACACTTTGGTTAGCTTTTGCCGGGGCTGAATGAAGTGTTGAGGCAGGGAGAACGGCAGGATGTTTGGGCGTGATGATAGAAATCTTTTGGTTGAAGTTCTTTTGGTTTACATTTTGTGCGGGTCGGATGAAAGTTCTGCAAAGGTCTTATTTTTTTTGCCTGTGATTCTCTACATGTGTACAACTTTTTAACAAAGAGAGGACGAAAGTAGAAAGGCGTTAATTAGTTTGACTTGAATAAAGTTGCAACAAACGGTTTAATTAAATCCATGTCTCTGAATGTTACCCAGAATATACATTTTCAGATAAACTAATTACTTAATGGGTTAAAAAGTTCACACACTTGATAAGGTCATTGAATTGAATTGTTTTTTATTTGTTTATTATCATTCAATTCGGATTTATGTAGAAAATAACAAACTTTGAAAATAGAGGGAGAGTTTCTGACGTTTAATTATTTCTATTTCTATTTCTTCGTTTAAAATGGGTGTTACCCATTAAAGACTATCCTTGACTCCTATAAGCCATAGAATTTTTAACTTTACACGCAAAGTAGTTTTTCGGATCCATCAATAAATCTCATTTTCTACTTACTAACATATTCACGGTATATCCATCATTTTGACTGCAAACATGTGACCCTTTTGTAAGTCCCCGGTCACCTGAAAGTTTTCAAAGTTCATTACCAACAAAAATCATTACAAAATCACAACTTCCCCTTTCTCCCCAATTCTAGTTAGAGTTCAACTTTTCAAAGTTAGTTTATGTGCTCTTTTTGTGCAATAAACAGTTTTTGCCACAAATTACAGATTAACATTTTTGGTCTACCAGCCACACACACTTTGACTTGATATATCGTAGATTTACATGCAGCTCAGCTTCCTATTTGTTGTATATTTTCTTTGTGTTTTCCACGGGAATTGGGGATGCAGGGAGCGGACTCATCTGTCAGTTTTACATAGTGCACCCCAGAGAAATTTGTGTTTGTTGCATAAAAATTACATCGTACATTGTTCGCGAATGGACTTTGATGGCTGTGTCACTGGCGAGAGGGGGGTTTTAAAAACATTGAGTGCGTCTGAGTGTGTGGCTCTGTTTTTGGCATTTCTAAAAATGTTGCATTGTGTGGGGACCCATTGATGTGGCTGCTGTGAGAACAAGCGGGTTGAAGCCCTGCTGTCAATTTTTTTTTCCTTTTCGGTTCCATCTATTTTGGTGTTATGCACAGGCAAGGGCAACGACATCATTGCAGTTTTTCTATGGACATTGTGGTCAGAAAAACTGTCAGCCAACCACAATTTAAAAAGAAAGTGTGGAGAGCGAGAGCATTGTGTGACAGCTTTATGAATCGTATTTTGGCTTTTATTATTAGCATTCATTTTAACGAGAGAATAGTGGCTTAATTTAGCCACTTTTTACCATTAAACTGAGTTATATCTAATAATCATGGTTTGTAAAACAAGTCACGAATTTTTTAGTGTCAAAATAACTGATTTAATTTTTCCAGCGCATATTTATTTTGAGTTCTTTTATCATCGCAATGACTAATTGAAAAAATTAATTAGATTTTTAAGTAAATTCAAATCAGAGAAAACCTATTAGCTGTTTAATCTATATGACTAATACAATTACATGCCAATTGAAATATCTGATCCAAAAAATCTTGGTTTTTCAATACGATTATATACTCAAAGGTCTTTTTTAAACGATTATTTATTTATTTATTTTTTTGAGTTGCTCGGAGTTTAAATATACACTTATATAAATATTAAGCTATAAAACACCAATTAAACTCAAATAATATAAAAAACTAATTACATTTTTGTTAGAAAGTACGCTATGTTTTTTTTCGGACGCAACGCTGGATATTTTATGTTGGACCATAGCGTTCCTATAGGTTTTAATTAATTCAACAGATACAAACGGATTGTGAATTATTAAAAGTCACACAGTTACCAAGACATCATCCATTGACTGGACACTGCATTACATTGACCATTTTTCTGCAACAGCTTCTTGTGTCTTGTGCGCATATTTGTTCGACTTTATTTTTTAATTTTCACAACTTTTGACAGCTTTGCAGTTGGTCACGTACGGGGCCAAGTCGGGAGTGCCATATATTGGCTGCCGTTCGAGGGGGGGAAACAGGGCGATGGCTGAAAGGGATGACCACAGTGTGCAACAGCTGCCTGTGACGCACGTGACTGGCCCGGAAACCCATCCCCTGGACCCCGACCTTCGGTAGCCCCTTGCCCAGGCAAATTTTAATCAAGTTTTCTCGCCACGCCGCACGGCACTCGCTCCTCAGTCTATTTAATTGTCAATTTGTTGCGGCGTGTGTCTGACGACTACTGATAAATTATGTTCAGCTGAACCAAGCTGAACTTAACTGAACTGAAGCCGCAATTAAGGGGACAAGATGAAATGCAGTCCAATCGGTTTTAGCTCCTTGGCCGGGCCAACAACCTTTGCACGAACTCCACTCAGGCATTCTTATCGGTGTGCTGTGTTATTCGGAACTCTGGCCGGGACTTTCGGTTTATCTTGTCTTAATGATTCCATTGTCAAAGCCATTGGCTACGGAAATTGTCTACACAAATTTAAATATTCAACAGGATATTGCATGAAATATACATGAGTCGGATGCACACAGACAAAAGGACAGAGGGTAAAAATGAGCTGGGTTAAAGAAAATATCCTGGTCGAAAGGACCTTAGGCGACAAAATCCTGTTGTGCGTAAATAACTTTTAGTTTGGTGTTCTTTCGAATAATTTTGACAGCATTTTTAGACTTCTAATCTCAGATTTAACTCTAAGCTTTTTATATTTTCCCCCAAGATTTTGTTTTGATTTTCTTTTTAATGTTTTATTTATCAGGCAATTATTTTGGTAATTAAATGCAATGCAGGTTTTGTATTCATGGCGAAAAGAGGGGATCAAATCAAATATGTTTGAGTTATGAAGAAAGGACCTCTGCTAATATTTGTATCTTGTCTTTCATTAGTTTGTGATTAAGTTTAACTTTTATATTTCATAATTAGTTATATATGAATTTCTGCAAAGTTTAAATGACTACTAATATTCAGATATAACACTTTATATGAAAATAAATAACTTTAAAAGTTCTCGGACATAAAATCTTAATTAATTAACTATTATTATACTCTCTTTAACTGAAATAAAT